ATCCCCCATCATACTTTGACCTATCTTTTTTGGGGATAGAAAGCCTCCTATTGATTTTAGTCGGTTTCAGAAGCGCCGAAAGAAAAGACCACGACCAGTACCAATTACAGATAGAAACTGGAGTATCAATTTTTTAACATAACACCCTTAGTTTCAATTTGGGGGTGGTGTGACACCAATACATCTATATATCAGCCAAACTTCTCATCATATAAATTCTGATTTGTTGAAATTCTTCATCAAAACTTCTCATCATAAGTTGAAGAGAAGAAACCTTTAATTATGAAGGAAGGTTGTCTTCAATTCTCTTTGCTAATATTGCCTCTTCTAGCAAGGACAGCTTGTGAATTCCTAACCTCCAAAGAAAACAAAAAGAGAAGAACTTTAAGTGGGATATTTAGAGCCCAAATCGTCTTCTTGGAATATAATGTTGCAGGAATTTTACTACCCAAGCCAGAAAAAGAGATCAATTCTTGAAATAACTCAAACTCCAATTGTTTACAAATTACACGAGATTCATGTAATCACAATAATTCAGCTAAAAAGCATACACGCATTACAGATCTCTGATCTGATGCTTTGATTATTTGATACAATCACATACAGATCGATTGATTTCAAATACAAATGAAAGAAAAAACACCCAGATTCCAATGAAATCCATCATGTTTGTTTGCTGCGATCATTGAAATCCATCTTCTTGAAATGCCGGATCGACAGGAGTGACAGCGACAAATTCATCTCGTCTTTTCCCCACCTTCTCTTCCCGGAGGGCGATTCGGTCGGAGAATGCTTTGGTGGCGGGGGCAATGAAGGCCAGGCACAGGGTGGCGCTGACGGAGACGGTGGTTTAACGAGCGGCCATAGATGGAGGGAGTAGAGGCGGCGGAAGCCGCCAAGAGCGATGACCACGTTGGAGAGGTGCCGCTGCTGCAGACCGCCGGTGCCGCCGTCCTTGAGGCACATCACCTCCCACAGCCGCTCGTCTTCCGCTGCCCGTTTCCACATCCGGCTAACGCACGCCGCCGACGCTAGGGTACGCCCGTCCACGCGCTTCAGCACCTCCCAGAGTAGATTCACATCCGATAGCACGTAATCGGCCGCAATCATCGCCGCCGAGGCTAACGCGCGGCCACACTCTATCTCGTCGTCCTCCATCGAATTCGCCGCCTTCGCCTTCTTGGAATCGCCGATCCGGCCTGGATCGGCGCCGTCGCGGATACCGGGAGCATGAGGGCGCTTCATCTGCGGATCTGGACAGATATATTATGGATGATGAGAGAAGTCTGCAGATCCGGAGTGGCTATTGGATTTCGAGCTTACAAATTGATAAATGCCCCTCACATCTTTAATTTTTTCTTTTTTTCTTTTCCAATATTGATAATATGTCATTTCCTTTAGATTTACCCATCATCTTTATTTTTTTTCAAGATTGACACAATTGTTCTTTTCTTTATCTTTATACTCCGTATATATACCCATCTTGGTCGAAGAGTTTCTACATCTTATTGTTTAGGTTGTGTTGGTCTAATAATTCTCCTATGATTTTAGTACTCCCTCCGTTCCTGAGTGTTTGTCCTCTTTCATTTTTGCACATCATCCAATGCACTTCTTTAATCCATTTTATATTGTAACTTGTATATTAAAAAATTATAAAAATTATATATTAATAATCTAAATGTTAAGACGAATCAAACAAGATCACACATGACTATTTTTAAGCTTACACATTGAGAAAATTTGATAAGTCAAAGTGCTTAGATGAACAGTTTCAAAAGTCAAAAGTGGATAAACACTCAGGGACGGACCAAGTAATATCTAGACCCTTTTTTTTTCAAAAAAAAATTGGTTAGATTTGAATATATTGTATTGTATCTGATCTAACTATATTTGATCTGACTTGAATAAGTTAAAAAAAATAAGGTGAGTGGAACAAGTCTTTAAACCCATTGTACGATGTGCAATTTTAGTTTTTTGAACAAAATTGTATAATCTCTCTATTTTGAAACTAAAGTCTCATTTTATTGCTTGAGTTTATTTTTAATTTAGCTAATTTGAGTGATGATATACTATTTTGAAATCAAAATTATATAATAAAAACTTATATACTCAAGTGTGTTCTACTCAACTTTTTTTTAAATTTTGATTATTCTACGTTCCTTGATTCCCTCGATAAACTCTCCACCTCGTTTTGATCCTAACCAACCTTGACTTCTTTCAATTACACTCTCCATATTCAACTAAATTTTCGGGTGTAATTAAAATGACGTGAGGTTTAGTAGGGCAGTTAGAGATTAAGAATCATCAATTTTAGGAAAACACATGTGTCGTATGTGTTCGAGTTAGAGCTAATGTCATCTCAATACATTGAAATTCATTGTCATTGAAAAATTTATCAATGATAGTAACAACAACAACATAAACAATTTCCAAAATAATACTCTCTTCCTCGTAAGAAAAAGTTCATTTTGCTCCACAAAGAAAAAAAATTGTGGAAATGATATTGAAAAAATGTTGAAAATTAAACAGTAAATTATTCATCTTTTCACGAAAAAGTAAGAGATTCAATTTTTTTATAGAAAAGAGCGATTGGACCACAAATACATTTATAAAAAAAGATAAATATACAGAATGATAATTGTTTTGGGACATCTACAAATAAAAAGTTACTCCGGGGTATTTATTTCATTAAAAAATGGTTATGTTATTTCATAGCACAAATAAATGGTAAAAAATTTAAAGAGATAAAACAAGTTAAAAAAACAACAAGCACTAAATAATTAGAGGATGGTAATAGAAAAAAATTAAAAAATTCCCAACAATTTTGAAGTACAAAACAAAAATTATTTTTTTAATTTTTTTGAAAGATGCACTCCCTTTCTTCCAATATCGATTACAATTTTGAAATTACAAAGTAAAACCCTATATTTTTTAGAATTATCATTTACAAGTTGACATAAGAACTAAAAAATAAACATACATATTAAAAATAATGTCAAAAATGCTACAAAAAATGTATTATGAATATTTTATTTTATCAAATATTAAATAAAGCACACATAAACAAAAGTTATCGAGTGACTAGAGCAATAAAAGTCGTATTCGATACTTGAGTGAATGAGTGTAAGTGGATCGAAGCACTACACGTGTTATATATGGACTAAGTAAAATGAAAAGTGCAGTCAACGACGACGTGGCAGCAAGTAACTGTTCATTTGAAATGAGTGATGAAATAATATAAATAGGCTAATGAGTAAGAAAGGAAGTGTGACAATAGCTAGTTGTGAAAGTGAGCAAGAGAGGAAGTGTGACAGTAGCTAGTTAATCAATAGAGATGAAGTGCTGTATTCATGCAACAGTGAAGTAAGTGCCGTATTTATGCAATAGTGATGAAGTAAGGTTGATAAATTGCATGGAGATATTGTATACCAAGTAATTTTGGAGAGGTAAGGCATCAAATAAAATATTCCAAGACAGTTGAGCTTTGGTTTGATGCGTGGTCCTAAAATGGTAAAAGAATTGAACAAGAAACTATATAAAGCTAGAATTTAATCTCACACACACACCTATATATGAATTTTTAAAAAATGACATTTTAACATAAGATAATTAGTATTATTAAATTTAGACCATTATGAAAAGGACCATGCTACATTTACACCAAAAATTATACCCCATTTATATACCGCAGTTATATACAAACATTTTGGTGGTTTACACCGACACAAATGTTGGTGCATTAACAAAAATTTATATGGACACAAAGTGTAGGTGCGTTAATAAAAATTAGTTTTACACCAACATAAAATGTTGATGCAAACTTGCGGGGTATAAAGTGGGATACAAAAAGTTGGAGTACAACTAGCTTTATTCTTATAAAAATTGGGGAGGGAAAAGCCGGGAACGCATTCAAATCCCGCTTCAATTTTACAAGGTAAAATTTATTTCGCCGTCCGAACCGAAATTTGAAAACCTTTTATCGTTTCGCTCTTCGCTTCACCTTTTTCAGATCCCTCACGGCCTCACCAAAACTCCTGAAAAATTGAAAACTTTCATTTTTGTTTTTCGCACGAAAACAAACTTGCGCCCAATTTCTAAACCTGAAAAATTTCAAAGCATCAGAAATGGCGGATTTATACCCACCCCGCCCTCCTCACATTTCCATCTCTACTCATCGCCGCTCCCTCCAACCCTTCCCGTCGGATTCCGATTCCTGCTCGCCGGAATATAAGAGGCTCTAGAGAGAGAGAGAGAGAGAGAAATGGCCGACCAGGAAAACTGTGTCAGCGCGAGAGTGACTCGCAGCATGTCGAAGAAGAGAGCGGCGGAAACCATGACCGCCGAGCACATACAGCAGAGGAAGAAGAGGGTTGCGTTGGCCGAGATCTATGAGTTTCCGTCCGCGGATCCCGATGACATCCGGACTCTGGATCCTAAACCTCACATTTCCAAGCCTAATCGGGCAAAATTTAAGACGAAGCAAGTGAAAGGGACGGCGAAAAAGGCGGATGGAGGCGCCGATTCAGAATCCGACGATCCTCAGATGTGTTGTGCATATGCTTCTGATATTTACGTGTATATGCGTCAATTGGAGGCTAGTATCATTTCCCTTTAGCATTGATTTATTCCGTACTAGAGAGATGCACTACTGTTCTATTTAAGTTTGCTAGATTATGGTTTAGTTTAGGGTTTGAATGAATCGATCTTCTGTGGTTCAGGCGCAGGAGAGAAGAAGACCACTAAACAATTACCTGGAGAAGGTTCAGAGGGATGTGAGCGCAAACATGAGAGGGATACTGGTGGATTGGCTGGTTGAAGTTGCTGAGGAATACAAACTTCTCCCTGAAACTCTATATCTATCCGTCAATTACATTGATAGATTCCTCTCTGTATGCCACATTTCTCGGCACAAGCTTCAGCTTCTGGGCGTTTCTGCAATGCTTATTGCCTCGTAAGTGACGAAGTCTTGACCCCTTTGAGTCCATCTGTAGGTCAATTGCTTACCTCCTGTGATGATTAACAGGAAATATGAAGAGATCAGTCCTCCCCATGTGGATGATTTTTGTTACATCACTGACAACACCTTCAACCAGAAGGAGGTTGTGAAGATGGAGCAAGATGTGCTCAAATCCCTCAAGTTTGAATTGGGAACCCCAACAATAAGATCATTTCTCATGTATGCTGCATTTCTTTGTTTCTTAGATCCTCCTAACTGGGCAGAATCTCAAATAGCTGATCTGTTTTTAACTGGTTTTTATTGCTTTGCAGGAAATATATCCAGATCGCTCAAGAAGACTTCAAAGTAAGCTTAAATTTCATCAATTTCCATGGATGCTTGCACTTGTTGTTTTGCTGTTTATCTTCATTATCTGTGCTCATCTTGTGGATTCATACATTCTGTAGACACAAAAAGTGCAGTTGGAGTATCTAGGGCTCTACTTAGCAGAGTTGAGTTTGCTTGATTATTATTGTGTCAAGTTTTTACCATCCATGGTGGCTGCTGCTGTGGTATTCCTCTCAAGATTCACCCTTAACCCAACCCTTCATCCCTGGGTAAGAAAATTGTCCAAAATGTATTTTTTTTCCTCTTAAATATCTAATGATTCATCTGTTGAAATTGTGAATGTACTGGTTTGGATTTTGATCACCATCAACCCCTCATTTGTAGAATCAAGAACTGCAGACTTACACTGGGTATACCCCAGCTGATTTGAAGGAATGTGTCTTCATCATTCATGACTTACAATGGAGTAGAAGAGGAGGCTCTTTGGTGGCTTTGAGGGAGAAATACAAAAGGCCAAAGGTATACATTCATTTCTCAAAAATCAAAAACAAAATTTGTGACCTAACACTGATTCAATGACTTTCTTTGTAAACAGATGCTAAGCGTTTCAGCACTTCGTTCTCCAGCGCACATCCCGGAATCATGGTTGGCAAACCCAATATTGTGAGAGCTTGTTTTGGTCAAAGAAGCTTAAGTTTGTGATAATTAAGTTGAAAGAAGACTGGTTGAAGTTGCATAAGGCCTGCGTTTTGTTTTGAACTAACCTTGTTTAGGTTTTAGACAAATTCCAAATGAATGCATATACTCAGAGAGTCAGAGGTGATTTTGACAATTAATAGCTTAGTTTGCATGGCTTGGTTTGTAATTTACACACTTAAGTTCAAACTTTTATAAAGTATTCCAAAATTATAATTCTTCATATGCCATTTACTCATCAAGATGGGATTATATATTTAGTGCTTATAATTTCTTCTAATTGTCCCTCATTCTGTTGAATTCACAACTAAAATCCCAGATCTCATTGATCTTTGTAGTCTTATACTCTTATGAATTTAAAAACTACTCCCCAATATGTTATGCAATATATGTTGAGTACTTAGTTATTTGAAAATGAATATTCATATAGATGTTTGAGCAACATGAAAGTAAAATGAATACTTGATCCTTATATCAAACCCACTCTTGAGTCCTAATGTTAGGATAAAATTTAACATAAATGAGCGTGAGATAGAGGAGACATTTATGGAGCTCGCATGAACCCCTCTTTTTTTAGCAGACTCTAGATGTAAATTATAATACTCGTATTACTTAAATGGAACATGAAACATCAACTGCAATCAACCCCTCTTTTTTAGAAGAGGGGTTGATTTAGACTATTTTTTTATCTTGAATATTACATCTTTGGTCTCAACGTTAGTTTCAATTAAATGAAAAATGTTAGGAGTATATTAAAGGTGTCTCTTATTAATTTTTTTAATTAAATGTATAAGTGTGGTGTTGGATGAGTTGGGGTACATTTGAGGAAAATATGGGCTAGATGAGAGATTTTAGAGTTGATTAAAGAGACAAAAGTTAGTTTGAAATCGAAGAAAACACTTATACTTCATATCGTAATATGACATCAAGTTTCAATATTAAAATCTTGTTTGAAACTTTGTTTAATACCAATAATTCTATTCCATCATAAATATTCTCACACTGTTCACATGGTCAATTATCACTTTATATGTTTATTTTTACTATTAATTTCAGAAAATAATATAGTTTTGTCATTTACTCCTTCCGCTTCAATAAACTCTTTCCTTTTGGACTTTTAGCCAAAATAAGGAAAATACATTTATGATTGACTTTCTAAATTTTTCTTTGACATGATGGGTAAAAGTAAGATGTGATAATTAGATTATTAGTGAATAAGTATAATATAATAAGCAGAGTATGAAAAAGTAAGGCAAAAATGATTTTTTAATAAAAAGTGGAAGTGTTTTAGAGAAATGAAAAAAATGAAAGAGAAAGAATTTATTGAAACAGAGTATTATTTTGTAGAGTTTTATATATATATTTTTTATTATATAATTTTAATTTCTAAATTTTACAACGTAAGTAAAATCAAATAAATTGAATTAATAATAAAAACGATCAAATATCAAACACACTAACACATAATGAAAAGTCTATGAGGGACGGAGTAAGTATGTGTTTATCTATGTTTTCTTAACTTATTTTAAGACCGAGAGTCATCGCTTCATCTAGATATGGAACTCGTAATCTTTTACTACCTCTGTCCAAAAATAATCTTTCCCCTTTGACTTACACGCAAATTAAGGAAAAGTAAAAAAATGTTTTGACTTTCCATATTTCTTCTTAGTTATTGCAAAAAGTGAAATAAAGTATAGGTATAGATAGTAAATAATTGGCAAATGTGAGAGTAGTGACGTGGTTTAAAGAGAAAGCAATTTCCATAAGAGAAAACGAGAAGATAAGTTATGGACGAACAAATAAGAAAAATAAAATATAAACGGAAGAAGTGTTTGAGAGATGATTTTCATGTCATTGAACCAGAAGACAATTTAGAACTAAAGAATTGAGGAACCTTTCAATGTACAATAAATTTTAGGATCATGCTAGAGTGATCTTGAATGGTTGCTACCATGGATCAACCAAACTTCACATAGACGATACAAATGATAAATACTCATGATAACACTCATTGGAGGGCACCCTAGCATTTTCTCCAAAAAAATTTTCCCCTAAAAAAGGTAATGGTGTGGTGGTTGGGTCCCATTTTAGAGGGGTCCATCTAAAACCTACGAGCCCATCCATCATATTTAGGAGGGCCGGGTTTCCCTCTTGTTTTAGATTTCCGAAATTCTATTTTCTTCTTTTCTTCTTCTTCTTCTTTCTGTCTTCTTACTTTGGGAGTCGGCGGCCATTAATACAGCATAAGAAAGTCGGGGAGATGCCGATCTTGCAAAGTTTACCCTTCTACCCTCCTTAATTAAACAAACCCTATTTTCACCTTTTCCCCTCCCCAGGACCCCCCCCATATATGTTCACTATGCTGATCCGACCCGAGAAGTTAATGGCCGTCCTGTTTCTTCTCTCAATCTTCCCCATCGTCTCCTCCGCAGAGAACACCACTTCCGCGGCGGCGACGACGGCGATGAAACAACCACTATCTCCACTTTCACTACCCCAAAATCGAACGCAGGAGGAGTTCTCACCTAGCAAGAGGAAAGTGCCGTATCATAGCCCCGACCCGCTTCACAACCGATGAGCCCGCCGGGAGAAATCGAATCAGCTGCACGTTTTCGCCGGCCGGCGGCGAGTCCATGGATGGTCACGGGCTATGAGTTTTTCTTTTTTGTTTGATTCGGTTGTCGGGAGGTGATTATCCAGATGCATATCCGGCGGCAGAGTTAAAAAAAAATAGGTCCAAGAAACAGAGGAATTGAAATTACTGTAATTGCTTAGCTCTCTGTGATTATGAACATTGCTCCTAGTGTGCATAGGAATGAAGAAGAAGATGGAGGAAAGATAGTTTTCTTTGGCTCAATGATGATGATAAAGATTCAAAGATCCTCATGAACTGCAGAGTTTGCTGCTCTGCTTTTTCCCCCTTTATTTCAAAATTGAAGAGCTTTAATTTGTTTGTTTGGGTGGGTGTTTTTGCTTTTGTATGTTAGCCTATGGCTATTTAATTTGATTTTTTTTGGTGTGATTCAAGAATATTCACATTTTTTTGAATTCATAAACTCAAAGTGTTTTTTGTGTTGGTGTTCATTGACTTATTGATGATAAATATTTTTTTACTCATAAACTGCTTATAAGTCAAATATTTTTTTGAAAATATAATATGGCTTAAATGAGAGATAAGTTATTTGTGGATACACATAAAAGGCGAGGACAATTTTATAGATAATATGTTCAAAATGTAGAAACAAAAAAACTGACTTAAAATAAGTATATAAGATATATTTATTTATTTTTTTGACTTATAAGTTAGCTTATAACCACATAAAAACATGCCATCACATAACTTATACTCCGTAAATTAAAAACATCATATGAGCATTTTTAATTAACTTATAAGAACAAAGAAACATCTGCTTTATTTCCTAGATGAGCTACCACATCAGTATTTTACGTATTCTAACGATTCTTCAAATGTGGAGTACTACAAATTGTCAATTGTTGTTGTGTGTTAATATAATTGATTTGTGCTAAAAAAACACATTTAAAATGTAGGTTTTTGAAATATGAATGTGAAATGTACTGGCCTAGTCTGGTTTGGCCTATATTAATGATGAAGAAGAAAAAGTGAAAGTGGGAGGGAAGAAAGAAAGAGAGGAATTAAGAAGGGGTTTGGTATTATTATTTACTTTTGTGGTCTGGTCTCTCTTTGAAATGTGTTTGGACGTAATGGTTCTTCTTTTATTCCTTTTGGCCAATTCCCATTTGTCACTTTTCGCATTGTCTTTTTGTTCTCATCCCTCTCCCATCTTTCTCTATTGTTTGCAAGTAGGAAGTACATATTGCATCAGATCTTATATGGTTTTAACTCCAAGTCTTCAGCCTTTTTAAAGGCAATGCTATAACGCCAGGGTCACATGTTTCAAATGTGACTTCAACTTTGTCCACACATTCAATACATTTCATCACGTTCAATTTAATAAAGAATGAGCCTCGTTCCTGAGACTCTGAGAGCTTCCTCTTACACGTTCGGACAGTCACCGACAGAAGATAAATTGGAATTTGATCATAGACTAGTGGAAAAAAACTAGAGCATGCACTTGATATTTGTAAAGATTATATGCTTAGTAAAGTTGGCTCCCAACGCAGTTATCAGAAATTAAACTCGAGTCTACCTCCTAACAGTTCTAAGAACTCTTTGTCTTTGCTAACTGTGTAACGCCCACTGGCATCATCTCGAGTCTACCTCTTAACAGTCCTAAGCACTCTTTATCTTTGTTAACTGTGTAATGCCCACCGGCATCATGTTCATTTGAAGATATGGTTGGTCTTGATATTTTATGTGCCCTAAGGCCAATTAGAAAATAAAATTGCCCTTATACAAGAAATAAAAAAAATACTTCTTCTGTCCCCAAAAAGACTCCTCGTAGAAAATACTCATCTTTTCAATTTTGAAATTTTTTTTGTACCTCACAATCTTTCTTTCTCATCTGGATTACTTTGAACCGCAGGATTTTACTTTTCTTAAATTTTGTGTCAAATCAAGGAGAAACCTCATCTTAGGACGGAAGGAATATGTTTGTTGAAGTATATGTTTTAAAGTAGCATGATTAAGGTTCTACGAGCAATTCAAAGAGAATGCCAAAGAAGTAAAAAGTACTTGTTCTTGAGAAAAATATAAACCAACAGATTGATCTATATGAAAAAAATATAAACCAACAGGGGGGAGCACAATCCTTTTTGCCCATGGCAGGTTTGGTCAACACCAACTCAAATACTTTTTTTGAAGTAATCAAGGCATCTTGGCATTCTTAGTCCATTAGAAGGGAGATACTACATCAGATGAGCACAGGGATGACATTCAGATGTTACAAGTCAGTTTCTCTACATTGTATAGATGTATCAACACTAGATGATGATACAAAGGTCATTTGTGACATTTTTAAGGCTCGAGGAGTAGTAAATAAAAGGGGACCCAATAAACATTTCTATTGGCAAAATAACATAATATACATTATTAAAGTTTTGGTAACAAAGAACAACTGACACAAGGATAAATGTTTTTTATTGATTGCGTCGACTTCTAATTTTACAACATAAATAATACAACACCAACATGACGAGTTTGTCCTGCAACTGAATTCATTCATGTCTGCACAG